GTCAAATAACCGAGGGGGATGGGATCCTGGGTTGGATGAACCCATGGGCCGGTTCAAACCCGCCCCTGGGGTCCAATGGACCGGGCGGGGGTAAAAAAAAACCGAGGGGGGGTGGTCCCAAGGGATGGATGAACCCATGGGCCGGTTCTAATCCGCCCTTGGGGTCAAATGAACCGGCTGGGGGGTAAAAGAAACCGAGGGGGGATGGGCTCTTGAATTGGATGAACCCATGGGCCGGTTCAAATCCGCCCTTGGGGTCGAATGAACCGGGTGGGGGGTCAAATAACCGAGGGGGGATGGGATCCTCCTGGGTTGGATGAACCCATGGGCCGGTTCAAATCCGCCCCTGGGGTCCAATGGACCGGCTGGGGGGTCAAATAACCGAGGGGGGATGGGATCTTGGGTTGGATGAGCCCATGGGCCGGTTCAAATCCGCCCTAGGGGTCCAATGGACCGGGTGGGGGGTAAAAAAACCGAGGGGGGATGGGCCCAAGGGTTGGATGAGCCCATGGGCCGGTTCAAATCCGCCCTTGGGGTCAAATGAACCGGCTGGGGGGTCAGAATGGCCGAGCGGGGATGGGCTCTTGAATTGGATGAACCCATGGGCCGGTTCAAATCCGCCCTTGGGGTCGAATGAACCGGCTGGGGGGTCGAATTACAGAGGGGGAATGGGCTCTTGGGTCGGATGAAACCATGGGCCGGTTCAAATCCGCCCTTGGGGTCAAATGAACCGGCGGGGGGTCAAATAACCGAGGGGGGATGGGATCCTGGGTTGGATGAACCCATGGGCCGGTTCAAACCCGCCCCTGGGGTCCAATGGACCGGGCGGGGGGTAAAAAAAACCGAGGGGGGTGGTCCCAAGGGATGGATGAACCCATGGGCCGGTTCTAATCCGCCCTTGGGGTCAAATGAACCGGCTGGGGGTAAAAGAAACCGAGGGGGGATGGGCTCTTGAATTGGATGAACCCATGGGCCGGTTCAAATCCGCCCTTGGGGTCGAATGAACCGGGTGGGGGGTCAAATAACCGAGGGGGGATGGGATCCTCCTGGGTTGGATGAACCCATGGGCCGGTTCAAATCCGCCCCTGGGGTCCAATGGACCGGCTGGGGGGTCAAATAACCGAGGGGGATGGGATCTTGGGTTGGATGAGCCCATGGGCCGGTTCAGATCCGCCCTAGGGGTCCAATGGACCGGGTGGGGGGTAAAAAAACCGAGGGGGGATGGGCCCAAGGGTTGGATGAGCCCATGGGCCGGTTCAAATCCGCCCTTGGGGTCAAATGAACCGGCTGGGGGGTCAGAATGGCCGAGCGGGGATGGGCTCTTGAATTGGATGAACCCATGGGCCGGTTCAAATCCGCCCTTGGGATCAAATGACCCGGCTGGGGGTCCCAAGGGTCAATCTTGGCATCCCATGAACGCATAAACAGGTTGCCCCAAACGATGGCAACCCAACGTAATCCATGCCATAGGCCTATTAATACCCCAGCAAAGGGGTATTTTTCCTCTCCCCATCATTCGGCCATGTGTTTTCGGATTGCCCCAAACGACGGTAACCCAACATAATCCAGGTCATAGGCCTAGGAATACCCTAGGGAAGTGGTATTTTTCCTCTCCCCATCATTTGGCCATATGTTTTCGGATTGCCCCAAACGACGGTAACCCAACGTAATCCAGGCCATAGGCCTAGGAATACCCTAGGGAAGTGGTATTTTTCCTCTCCCCATCATTCGGCCATGTGTTTTCGGATTGCCCCAAACGACGGTAACCCAACGTAATCCAGGTCATAGGCCTAGGAATACCCTAGGGAAGTGGCATTTTTCCTCTCCCCATCATTCGGCCATATTTTTTCGGATTGCCCCAAACGACGGTAACCCAACGTAATCCAGGTCATAGGCCTAGGAATACCCTAGGGAAGTGGTATTTTTCCTCTCCCCATCATTCGGCCATGTGTTTTCGGATTGCCCCAAACGACGGTAACCCAACGTAATCCAGGTCATAGGCCTAGGAATACCCTAGGGAAGTGGTATTTTTCCTCTCCCCATCATTCGGCCATGTGTTTTCGGATTGCCCCAAACGACGGTAACCCAACGTAATCCAGGTCATAGGCCTAGGAATACTCTAGGGATGGGGCATTCTACCACTCCCCATCACTTGGGTTTCGGTTCTTGATTGCCCCAAACAATCGTAACCCAACGCAATGCAGGCCATTGGCATAGGAATACCCTGCCTAGGCTTTGACCTTGATGGTTCGATCGATCCGGACCCGAATGGGTTCGATACGAATGGGGCCGGTGAATCCGGATCCGGATGGGTTCGATCCAAATGGGTTCGATCGACTCGGATCCGGATCGATTCCATCCGAATCGGTTCGATCGAACCGGATCCGGATGGGTTCGATCGATCCGGATCCGGATGGGTTCGATAAGGATGGGTTCGATCGACTCGGATCCGGATGGGTTCGATACGAATGGGTTCGATCGACTCGGATCCGGATTGGTTCGATCGACTCGGATCCGGATCGATTCCATCCGAATGGGTTCGATCGAACCGGATCCGGATGGGTTCGATCGATCCGCACCCGGGTGGGTTCGATCCAAATGGGTTCGACCGACTCGGATCCGGATCGATTCCATCCGAATCGGTTCGATCGAACCGGATCCGGATGGGTTCGATCCGGATCCGGATGGGTTCGATAAGGATGGGTTCGATCCGAATGGGTTCGATCGACTCGGATCCGGATGGGTTCGATCCGAATGGGTTCGATCGACTCGGATCCGGATTGGTTCGATCGACTCGGATCCGGATCGATTCCATCCGAATGGGTTCGATCGAACCGGATCCGGATGGGTTCGATCGATCCGGATCCGGATGGGTTCGATCGACTCGGATCCGGATGGGTTCGATCGGCTCGGATCCGGATGGGTTCGATCGATCCGGATCCGGATGGGCTTGGGTCCGAAAGGGTTCATTTGATCCGGATCCGGACGGATTCGATCGATCCGGACCCGGGTGGGTTCGATCCGAATGGGTTCGATCGACTCGGATCCGGATGGGCTCGATAGGGATGGGTTCTATCCGAATGGGTTCGATCGACTCGGATCCGGATGGGTTCGATCGATCCGGATCCGGATGGGTTCAATTGATCCGGATCCGGATGGGTTTGATCCACACGGGTTCGATCGATCCGGATCCGGATCGGCTCGATAAGGATGGGTTCGATCGACTCGGATCCGAATGGGTTCGATCGATCCAGATCCGGATCCGGATGGGTTCCATCCGAATGGGTTCGATCAAACCCATCCGGGGTCCGATCCGGATGGATTCCATCACTTGGGTTCCGGGGACTTGATTGCCCCAAACGACGGTAACCCAACGTAATCCAGGTCATTGGCCTAGGAATACAGGAGGGAAGGGGTGCTCTACCTCTCCCCAACCCTTGGCACGGGCCATCGGATTGCCCCAAACGACGGTAACCCAACGTAATCCAGGTCATTGGCCTAAGAATACGGGGGGGAAGGGGTGCTCTACCTCTCCCCAACCCTTGGCACAAGCCATCCGATTGCCCCAAACGACGGTAACCCAACGTAATCCAGGTCATTGGCCTAAGAATACGGGGGGGGGAGGGGTGCTCCACCTCTCCCCAACCCTTGGCACGGGCCATCGGATTGCCCCAAACGACGGTAACCCAACGTAATCCAGGTCATTGGCCTAAGAATACGGGGGGGGGAGGGGTGCTCCACCTCTCCCCAACCCTTGGCATGGGCCATCCGATTGCCCCAAACGACGGTAACCCAACGTAATCCAGGTCATTGGCCTAAGAATACGGGGGGGGGGAGGGGTGCTCCACCTCTCCCCAACCCTTGGCATGGGCCATCCGATTGCCCCAAACGATGGTAACCCAACGTAATCGGGGTCATTGGCCTAAGAATACAGGAGGGGAGGGGTGCTCCACCTCTCCCCAACCCTTGGCTCGGGGCATCCGGTTGCCCCAAACGACGGTAAGCCAACGTAATCCAGGTCATTGGCCTAAGAATACGGGGGGGGGAGGGGTGCTCCACCTCTCCCCAACCCTTGGCATGGGCCATCCGATTGCCCCAAACGATGGTAACCCAACGTAATCGGGGTCATTGGCCTAAGAATACAGGAGGGGAGGGGTGCTCCACCTCTCCCCAACCCTTGGCTCGGGGCATCCGGTTGCCCCAAACGACGGTAAGCCAACGTAATCCAGGTCATTGGCCTAAGAATGCCGGAGGGGAGGGGCTCCTTACCTCTCCCCAACCCCTGGCATGGTGGAACCGATTGCCCCAAACGACGGTAAGCCAACGTAATCGAGGTGGTTTTCCTAAGAATACTGCAGGGGAGGGGTGCTCTACCTCTCCCCGACCCCTGGCATGGGTCATACGGTTGCCTCAAATGACGGTAACCCAACGTAATCCGGGTCATTGGCCTAAGAACACCGGAGGGGAGGGGTGCTCTATCTTTCCCCAACCCTTGGCATGTGGGCATAGATTGCCCCAAACGACGGTAAGCCAACGTAATCCGGGTCACTGGCCTAAGAACAACGGAGGGGAGGAGTGCTCTACCTCTCCCCAACCCTTGCCACGGGGAAATCGATTGCCCCAAACGACGGTAAGCCAACGTAATCCAGGTCATTGGCCTAAGAATACTGGGCGGGAGGGGTGCTCCACCTCTCCCCAACCCCTGGCATCTGGGAATCGATTGCTCCAAACGACGGTAAGCCAGCGTAATCCGGGTGGTTGGCCTAAGAAAATCCGGGGGAAGGGGTGCTCCACCTCTCCCCGAACCTTTGCAAGGGTCACTCGGTTGCGCCAAACGACGGTAAGCCAACGTAATCCAGGTGGTTAGCCTAAGAAGGTTTGGGGGAAGTGGCTTTTCACCTCTTCTCACTAATCTTTGGGTAGGACGGTTGCTTGAAAAGTCGGTAAGCCAAGGTAATCCGAGGCCTTTCCGTAGTAATAATTCGGGGAGAGGAGAACTGGCCCTCAAACCACAAGCAAGGCGGATTACCTAGGTATGAAGTCGAGCTTGTCATGAGGTCCTATGAGGCACCGGCCCGGGCCACGGAGGGCGGCACTCTGTGATCCGGGGGGGAGCGTCCCGTGAGACGTGCGCATGGACTCTCTTCGGAGGGTTGGTGCGCACAGGCCCCAGCGGAGGGGGCGGGGAGCTCTCCAGGTGCGGAGGATCACCTGGTAAAATGAAGGGAGATGGCACGGTGGGGGAGATGCCCTGGCCAAAACGAAAAAGGTGGCGAGAAAGGCAGGGCCGGCTCTGGCTAAGATTCAATGCAGAGCACCGATCATTCGAGGAGTCGAAAGGGCAACGGGAAACCGTTGCAGGTTGGCCAGTTCAGCTACCCCGCGCCCTCCTTGGAGGGCGATGGGTAGATGGCGTGCCTCCTGGGCTGGAGGCGAACC